AAACCTTCTCCAACTACTATAATCCTACTTTATTAATTCTACTTTATTTAAAGTATCAATTCAATTCATTTGTAAACAAAGACTATTTATTGTCTATGACTCTTAAGAGGCTTAATTCCTATTCAAGTAATTCCCCTACTCGGTCAAATAAATTGCTCAACGGCCTACAAATCAATTAAGAATTCAAACCATGGAGGCCCAGTCTAGGCGCGCTTTCTTTAAAGAAATGCCTGGCCTAGCCTCGTCTAGGCCGGCCCAGCCCATGCTCGAACTATTTGAATGGCTGGAGACGTTGCCATCAAGTCGTGAACTCTCACTGCGCATAAATAATGAATGTCATTGAGCCATGCAGCAGCAATGTGCAACACTTCAGGACTGCTCGAGCCACTGAGCACCACCACCGGGTGGCTGAAGGGCGGTGCTTGCGGCATTAAGATGGTGCTTGGGACTGAGTTGTGTGGAGCGAATTGTGGAATTGTGGCTCCTAGCATAATGATGGCATCTAATTGGCTTTGCTGCTTCGTTAACCTGGCTTACACACGCCACCCATCTCAAGCGCAAGCTCGCAGAACCCCTCCTTACCAGGCAGAACCCTTTCCTTGTGCATGTCACAATGTTGTCGTAATCAAGAAATTAATAATCGCATCATATGACGCGAATGGGAGCAATGGAGGTGAGGCGACGAGGCGAGGAGGTGAGGAGGCGACGTCGGCGTTGGCTCTGCTAATTGCCAAAGACATGACGCGTAAATGATAACTTAAGCACACACACACACACACACACACATACACACACACAGATTGAGGTGTTTCCTCGTGGGTGACCATGGTGAGTGAGTTCATTGCCATTGCGGCTGTTCCAAGACCAAGTTCACACATTCAACTGCCTGAACAAAACGCGCTAATAAATAAATTTCATAAGCTTCATAAACTATGTCCGATGTTACCAAATTTAGAGCCCACATAACAATGCTAAGATCTAAAACACCTGCTTAAAAAAACAAAATATGAATAAAATACAAAAAAAAACCATAAACTAAGTCAAGCCAACATTCACCATTGATGCTCCGTTTAGGAATTGTCGCTTGGCCAACTTCCGAAAGCGATTATTATTTGTTGTTGTTGTTGTTGTTGAGTGAAATACATAATTTCAGATGGCCCATTTAGGTTGGGTCTTTGTTAAGGCCTGCGGCTTGGCTCTGATTGCTCACTCTCTCGTGCTGAGTGCGTCTGCTTCGAACTATAAATATCAATTTTCCACTTCATATGCATAAGCGTACTAATGCCAGCCACGCCCCATGCCCGCACGCCCACAGTAACAACTTTGAACTCGATCAAACTTGTGGCAGCCCCCACACACAGACTCATGAATGAATGTGGCTGGGGCTATATACTACAATTTACTACGAAAGCGAGAGAGAGAGAGAGAGTGGAAGAGAGAGAGAGAGAGGGAGACACTTTGCGACAAGTGTTTGGGTAGGTAGCTGCAAGTGGTTTAAGCGGCATTTGCGCTCACATTTCAGAGTGCTGCAAATGCCACAGTAGAGTCTCAAATGCAGGGACGCCATGAATGAGAATGTTATTGAATATCAGATGGCATGAGCAAGACGTATACTATATTCGATTACAAAATAAACACGAGTCATGGGCGTTAACTGACTAAGAGATACCCTGCATATGGAGTTTATGCTACAAGTAAACATTTCAAAGAATTCATATCAAATGAGAGCACTCCAGTACCAGGTATACCCTGTAGTGGTCATTTCTGTTTCTATATCTGTTTCTCACTGCAGTTTGAGCAATCTGTGACACCTTGACATACCCTCTAGCGGATATTTATTCCAACTCAGCCAAGACTGGTCTCTAACCAGGCCAATATACTCTTTATGCACTAGCTGAACGAGTATGAATAAACTGAGTCACGAAGTAAAGTACAACGAAAACTCTTGAACGTCACCTGTTTGGCTTGTTGGCCGTTCAGCGTCTTGGTAGAGCCCGAAGACCCACAAGCAGAAGTGCGAAACGGCTTCAACTTACAAGCGAATCCATTGTCTTAACTCTCCTCACTTGGGCCCAAGCAGCTGAGGTGTAAACAATTGGCACGTGTCTGTTTGGACAGCAAAGGGCACAAAGCACAAGCAAATCAATTGAACTCTGCAGCCCCGCTGTGCACTGAAGACTTACACATAATTTTGTCTACACAATGAGAGGCAGCTAATTAAAGCAATTGCAAGTGCAACCGAAACCGAAACCAAAACTGAAACTGAAACAGAAAAGCAAACAAGCCGGAGCACAAAAATTCAAGTGTGGGTAAACTACTCATGTTGGCCATGTGGGTGGGATGAATGCCTTGCCTTGCCTTGCCTTGCCTTGCCTTGCCTTGCCTTGCCTTGCCTCAGCCTGATTGCCTGGACAGCATGTGGTGTTTCTTTTTGAGCAAACTGACCTCAATATGCTCTTGGAACTGTTTTGCCCTAAAACACATACACACACACGCACACATGGACACTGTTTAATCATTCATTCAAAGCCTCCAGTTGCAGATCGTAAGTCAACTAATCTTGCGCCTGAAATGGGAACAGCATTGACATGTTTTTTGGAACCACATAGAATTCTACATTAGCCAACAAGACACAAGTTCTTTTTTGGCTAAACTCTGCAGCAAACTAATTAAAATGAAAGTCAATTGGTCGCTAATCAATTTGTGTTTGCTTAATTATTTTATTTTATTTTATTTCATTTCATTTCATTTCATTTCATTTCATTTCATT